GGGTAGCATATCCGAGGCCTTTTCACTAAAAACTTCTCGGAGATCCCAATACTCCTTTGGAATCTTTTCCTCCCCTTCGATGTGGCCTATTGCCACTTCCGCCCTTTCGTGTTCTACTCTGTCCTCCAGGGGGTTTTCTTCCCTTTCTAGTCTCGGTTTTCCGGTGCAAATGCGCAAACCCCCCCGTTTTCCAGTTAACCTGTGGGTTCCATCTACGGAGCCAGAGCAGTCCAAGTATGAGGGGTTGTTCCATGCTAGGGGCCACAATAAACCTGAGAGTCTCTACGTGATTCCCCCAATTGCATTTCAATGGGTTTGGTCACAAAGCTGGCTGGGCCCCCTCCTGCAATCGATCCGTCCAATTGACAGAATGCCATGGGCCTTTTTAATGTTTTTAGCCTCAGGCCCATTTTCTCCACGACTTTCGGGCTGATTATGCACCTGGTGTACCCAGAGTCTAATAGGGCTAACATCTGCGCATGTGCCCCTGTAGACGGCACCCTTATTTCTATGGGGATGAGCATGGGAGTCAGATCATTGGAGTCAGAGTCTGTCCCGCTGTCGTCCGCGGTGGTCGGAGTTCCCAACTCACCCTGGTTTTGGGGAGCAAACTCAATGACTTCTCCTTTCAGGGCGGTTTTGCGAGCTTTTGCGGGTGCTTTGTCAGCCTTCTTTGGTCCCGAGCCGGTAGATTTTAGCACTGGCTTGGAGAAACATTCGGCGGCCCGATGGCCTTCCTTTCTACATTTGAAACATGTGAAGGGCTTCGATTTTGGTTTGAATTCCGCTCCCCCCATGGCCGCCCTTGGCGTTCCTTTGCAGTAGAAGGGGGATGCACGATCCCCTCGGAGTTGGCTTCAGGCCAGCTCGATTTCCACATCCTCAGCTACTACGTACCAACTCTGCATCGGGGACCCCCCGTGCTCTACAGTCTTTGTATATGTCTTCATTCAGTCCGTCTTTGAAACTCTCCAGTAGAGCCGCTTCTGACCACCCTGTCATGTAGGGTGCCAGTTCGCGAAATTCTTGGGTGTATTCTGCCACGATTTCCGGCTTTGCTGGATACCCTTCATTCTGAGTCTCGCTTTCCGCTCAGCTAGGTGGTCTTCAAACCGTCTCCTCAAGGCCCCCATGAACAGGTTGTAATTCCTCAGCAAGGGAGAGTTATTATTGTGGAGAACCACCTCCATTCAGCTGCTACTCCCTCTAAGACATTCGTGACGCATCTCACTCGTGCCGAGTCTGATAAGTAATCCTCCCCCCAGTCCTGCATGTGGTTCCACACTTGGGTCAAGAAAAGCCCCAAAGTCTTTGGGTTCCCATCATATTTTCCGGTTGGGGGGGGGGGATTTTTGGCTTTTTGCATCTGCGGGGTGGGGCCTGCAAGGCTGGGGGTCCCTGGGCTGCTGCATCCCTCACTTGAGCTCCAGAAGCCTGAGATGTTTCTTCCCCAGCTTCTTCTTCCTCTCCCCCACAGGCTGTCTCTTCTGGATCCAGTCTGGGGTAGTCTCCTCCCTTCCCTACAGGGAATACATAAGAATCACGGTTTTTCCGGCTTTCCTCGGCATCACTGAGGAGTTGCATCGCCTGAGCAATCATGAGGCTCTCCTTTTGCTCTTGCAGCCACACCGCCTTTCCCTTACGAGGTCTGGAGCTGGTTACTCCTTAGGGGGTCCTCCCCAGATCCGGCAACCTTCCTACTCCCCTCGACCATCTAGCTTCCTCTGGCTCCTCTCTCAGCTGAATTTTTTTCATCCATTCTGCAGCTTCCTTCTCTGCTTGAAGTGAAGTTATAGTAGAGCCTGTAGCTTCCATCTGGTCTCCTTCACTCTCTTGGTCAGACATGTCTTGGTTTCATCCCCCTCAGTGTTTATCCGGGATGGCTGGAGGTTGAGATTCTGCTTAATGTCAGGTGTGCTTCCTTCAAAGTCCAGGAAAGAATGATCCAAACTCCATTGTTTATAGAAAGGTACTTTTACTAGAGATGAAGTGAACACAACCATAGGAAAGCAGAATCTAAGGCAATACGCACGAAAAGTGCATATAGAAAGCATCTCCTCCCACTGTCCACCGTAAATCATCCAATCCAAAGGTCTCCCAGGAGTCAGGTGGAAGCACACGTCTGCCAGCGTCATCAATCAGGAATGCCACGACCGTTGGCCCGACGGCAGCTTCAAAGATACAGTCCGGTGGCTTAACTATCGGTTTCGTTTTCCTCCTCCAGCACGCTTCCCCCCCTCCCATGCTACATGCTCTCCCCCCTTCCGTTACTATGGCAGCCAAAGCAGAAAAGGCGGAGGCTGACAGACTCATTTGTACTAATCATTTAAAATAGTGTTTCAGCTTTTATCAGATTTACCTTACTTTTACCAATTTATTGTACTACTAGCACATTTTAAAGGGAGTGCTGGGAAACCTTAAATTAGAAACAACAAACGTTTAGGTGCTATATTTAAATTAGAATTCCCGCAATCTGCCCATTGTTCTGATTTTGCAAAGCCACTTGGAGTCACTGAAAGTAAGTTGAGAGCCATATAAATTTTCTTAAACAAATAAATAAAAATACAAGCAGAACAACTAGCACCTTACTCTGTCCTAAATGACAAATTATATTTAGTGATAGTACAAAAATAATATAGAAACTGTTATCTTTAATACTCTTAGCTATAATGAAAGTAATCTATTAAAATTTTTACTTTTTACAGTGCCTTGTTTTAAGAAATCTATCCCTTGGACTTTCAGAGTGAGACATATTACCTCTATTATATACCATAAATTAAAAAATATACAAAAAGACAAATGTTTTAGATGATGTGCTTTTTTTTTGAATAAGAATAGTCATAATATTGGTTTGGTCACATTATTTTGCAGGCAAAAACTCAATTAATGCAGGGCTTTTTTTAAAAGTAACAAACAGCTATTTTTCTAAACTGTCAAAAACACATGAAAAAAGCTTTCATGACAAAATTTAGAGAAACGGATTGTTTACATCCATAAAACCTTCCCTTGAAAAAAATCTAGTTCTCAGGTGAAGTCTTTCCATGAAGCATGACAACTTTACAATACTGGTTGTCCTCGATTTACGAACACAGTTGAGCCCAAAATTTCCATTGCTAAGCGAGACAGTTGTTAAGTGAATTTTGTCCCATTTTTGACCTTTCTTGCCACAGTTGCTAAATGAATCACTGCAGTTATTAAGTGAATCTGGCTTTCCCATTGACTTTGCTTGTAAGAAAGTCGCACATGGGGATCACATGACTGGGACACTAATAATTATGACTCAGTTGCTAAGCATCTGAATTTTGATCATGTGACCATGGGGATTGTCATGGCTGTTGGATCCTGATTCGGAGGAGGAGTTGGAACCGGGCTGTCTTAACAGGGAGGGCACAGTCCCCTCCAAATGAGTGGAGAAGCCAGGGGCTGAGGACGAGGCAGTCCCAAGTTTGTCTTAGCAGTGGGTGGTGACGGCCAACTGGAGAACCATCTACAGGAGTGGAGCAGCTGCAGAGGGTCAGCGCAGATAACAGGCTCCAGACCACCTCTGATGAGGAACAGCTGCCTCCCTCACCTGATCTGTGGGTGAGAATAGGCACAGAGGCGGCCAGTGAGGCTGATGGCGAGTAAGCAGCTCCACCCCTTCTCCCAACGAACATCTGGGGAAAGATTATTGAACCAGATGCTGGAGGAAGTCTGTTTGTCAGGAACACCTGTTTGCTTTGATGTGCACCTTCCTGGCTTTCTGGAACCCTGGATCGCGTTTCTTGGCTCTGAACTTTGGGCTTCATTCGTGGACTTTGGAATTGGCTCCCTGACTTCGGACTTTTGGATCATGCTTTGATTTTTGGGAACTCTGGGCTTGTGTGGGAGACTTGGTACTTGTGGGTACTGTTACTTCCCTCTTGTCTTGTGGGTCAGCTAAGACTTAGTTTGTGGAACCAAGGAATTCAGACTGAGGAAAAACTGAGGGCTGGGGTGGAGGTTCACTGGCACCATTGGTAGGTCTTTTGATGCTGTGATAAGTGAGCAATAAATGGACTCTGCTTAACCTCTCTACCTTGCCAGTATGACTTGGGCCAGAACTGAAATGCTGCAATGGTTAAGTGTGAAAATGGTCAAGTCACTTTTTTCAGTGCCATTATAACTTTGGTCATTAAATGAACTGTTGTAAATTGAGGATTACCTGTACATATTTTTAAGGGTACATGGAGTACATGGACTTGCCCATATCCCTTTTTTTGCTCATGAAGCTATTTTATTGGCAAGTGGGTCTGAATTATTAAAAACATTACATATTGCATACAATACTACTGTTTGCTATTATTATTTTGCAAAGTTGTATATTAATTATAATAGGTAATTTTTGGTTTGCTTTTCACAAACTTTAATTCACATAATTACTTAAATTTTAAGACAGAATATTATATAAATATCAGGACAGTACGAAAGCTAAAACTTTAGGACCTTTACGGTGAACAGAAATAAATTTAAAAGCAATCCAATTTTTCTTATATACAGCATTTGTACTTAGTTCATCCTAAACTGAACCAATTTTTATCAGTTTATACATGATATATACAAATACTTTAGCTAATCTCAAAACATGTAATCCTGGAAGTATTTTTCAGAATAGATAAAGCAAAACAGGAAATGCAGGATGTTTCATGCTTAACTGATACTGCCCAGTTTTTGTCCCATAACTGCCTATGGTTTAATGCCTGACTTGAAATAGTTCTTACAGAAAGTTTGTTCTATAAGATAGTTTATGCCATCCAGACTGTTTTTGTACTTAAAGGAAATTATGCAGAGATTTTGACTAAGTAAATATATTATACCACAATAGTTATCTCCATTAATAACATTCATAATTTTTATAGATCATATCCTTCCTTGAACTTCATATAGCTACAATCTGAAAATGATTGGCACAAATCTTTGGTATATTAAATGTTCAACAAAAAAAAATAGCTGCATCAAAAATTACATTATAACTATCACCATCACATAAATGATTTTATTTTAAAGGTTTTTTTAACTAAGTATTTACATCTGGTGCAGTAGTCTTAGGGCAAGTCCATTACTTATCCGGTGAATTTATTTTTAAATTACAGATGTATGTTTTTTCACAAAACTCAGAAGAGGATCCTGAAATTACTATAAAAGTCCAGCCAGACAGTTAATATTTTGTTAATTACATGCTGTTCCGCCAAGGTACTACGTTAATGAATATTTGTATTCAGTCTTGATCAGAAACATGCTGTACCTCTACTTCTACTGTTTGAATAGCTTCTGTAACCTCTGTTATTTTCTGTCCTTGTTGTTGTGCTAATACATAATTGACAACTTGCATGATACTTTGGTCAGAAAGGGTAGAAACTGTTGAACACTCTTCGGTAGCTGCAACAGTGTCAAGTGTTTCTTCAGTAATTACTACAGTCTCGATCTCTTCAGTACAGACCTCTGTTTCTTGTTCTGGCGCATCCGATGTTAAAATACTGATGGCATGTTCGACTTGAGTCCCCTGATTATGAAACTGAAGAGTGTCCTTTTCCAGCATGATTTTACAAGGTACATAATCCCGGTGAAATTTAGTCATGTGCTTTCTTAAGGTACGGGCATCTATGTAGGCTTCATTGCATACTGGACATACATAAGGTCTTTCTCCAGTGTGTGACCTTACATGACGTTTTAAGGAACGTGCATCAGCCCAAGCAACACCACAAGTTAGACACTCAAAAGGTTTAACACCTATTCAACAGAAACAGAAAGAAAGCATTTACTAATCTTTAAAAGTGAAAATTACTATAAAAATGATTAAGATAAGATTTTCTCACAGCCAGTAAATTCATTATAATATAAGCCTTTATATAGTCATTTTGCATAGAGAAATCTTGACAGGTCATCTATAAACCCAGGATATTTTGGGTTAATAAATATTTTTTAGTGTTAAAATACAGAAAAATGGCATTCCTTCCCATCTATTTGTATGTTACTGTGATTACAATTTAAAAAGCTAGTTTTAGACAGATAAAAAGAAAATATCAACTTGCAAATAGAAAATCTGTTCAGATACATAATTTATAATTAGCTAATTATCTTTACCTTCAATCAGAAATGTAGAAATTAAAACAGTGCTAGGACTGGATTCAGTTCTCCAGAGATTCTGATTTAAGTAAATCATGGGATTTGTGGGAATCTGTCATTCATTTTTCCATACAAAAGTGAAAGAAAACAATAGGGCCACTGCAAACACAGCCTATCTGTTTCAGCTCTCTCATCTTTCCTAAAGCCAAACTATGCTTATACAGCCATCTTTATTATTTAATCATTAAATGGAAATATTGCCTAATCCCAGTTAAAACCATTTGAAATAAATAAAAACCAATAAAAAAAATATTGAAATGGAAAAATACCATAACAAACAAAAATAAAAGATAAAGATGGCAAAAATTACATAACTAGAGAGAAATTAAAAAAGAAATAGATGCACACAAACCAAATCTGCCAAAGACTAACAGAAGAAAAGAGTCTCACATTCATTTCTATCGTGTTGCCACTGACTCTGAATGGTTTACAGGAGATGGAAACATGAGTATGCTTCAGACTAGCACTGATGATGTTATCTAGTTTGGGTAATGAAACATCTGCAAGAAAACAACCAAGCGCAGAGAACACCAAGGACGCCTCAAACATGAACATATCCATAGTCTTCGAGTACAGAAAACAATTTAAAACAAAATAAAATAAACCATAAAGGAAGCCAAATGAAAGTAGCAGTAAAAAGTAACAATTACTTTAAAAGTAAAAAGATTACTAAAGAACCTAGGTAGTTGGAACACATTTGAATTCAACAAGGAGGATGTTATGACCCTGCTGGACTAGAAATGGGAAGAGACAGAAGAAGTAGAGTCAGGGGTTTCTAGAGATAATAGCTTTCCGGAGGGTGTAATTTCAGCAGTGTTGAAGTCAATTAACTCCATTCTGGCTAAGGCAAGCCTCTCAGGCTCCGAGGTTCACCCACCCAGTCCCAAGCAGAGGCATGCTTTAAACACAGAGGACTTCATTCTGGCCAAGGAGGAGGCTGGCAGAAGAACAGAGACTACTGGGTAATGTACAGTATCTCAGCTGTGGGCCTGTGTGGTGGCTCCACATGACTTATTTATTGGCTAAACTCCGTGAGGAAAATTCTGAAAACAGCTTTTCAAGCCTCAGCTCTGCCATGTTTACCTTGTCGTGCTGTGTTTGGAGGTCTGGATTCTACCCCACCTTGTCTCTCATCTTTTCCCCTGGATTTATTGTTTGTTTATTGAATTGTGGTCTTAACTTGTGCCAAGCCTTGACTACAATACAGTTGTCATCTTTAGCTATAGAGAAAAGGGACTCTTTCCACAAAAAATTCCTATCCAATTTGCATATTTCTGGACTAGAAAGCATCAGCTTGCTATCCTGTTGGCTGGCACAGAAAAGAAGTGGCAATTTGATTTTTACAAGGGGGCGATTCCAGAGAATTGCCACTGCAGAGCAGCAGTTCTTGCCTTCAGCTCCCCTCACTTCCTAAAAGTGGAGAACTGAGCATTTCTCCTTGGATGACTTAACAGGTTGGGACAATTCAGGTTTCATATAAAGTTAGGTGCATCAGCTTTTTCTTATCAACTTTAAAACCTTCTAAGTTTAAAATTAAATAACAGTTTTGTGAATGTCATTCACTCCTTTAGGAAAGGTGTAATTCAAAATTTTAAGGAACACATGACATGTTCCCATATATTCCTAATATGGTTTTATTCCATAAGACTGGTATAATGAAACCCAAAAGTTACTTTTGGAATCCACCTTCTCTTATTGGTTAAAGTCACTTTTTTTTCCCTTGTGGGCTTAATAGTTCTTATTTTAAGTGATGACATTGTTTCATCTTGAGGTAGGCCATTGCATGAGAAACAGAAATGCTGTGGTAATACCAATGATGGGATATGAACATGCAGAGGCAGCTTCTAAACTGCACATCAAGGATATGGAAGCCTAATAAGATCTGGCTGCCATACTCAGAGACATGTTTTGGGGCACTCACTTGGCTTTTTCAAGCTAAATAACTGCTCCCAATTTCAGAAGCACCCTGTCCCTGGCAAGATTTAGTGATCTCCCAACAGCTGTATCCAGGGGGAAACTACAGGACATCACATTTGAAGAAAGGCTTTGTCCCTGCGGTGAAGTGGTCCTTGAAACACTAACCCATGACTTTTATACTGTTTCTATTACAAAGATATCCAGTTTAAGTTAATAATACCCCTCTACTCAGATTTGAAGACCACACAGATCCCTTTTACTTACAATTGCTACTAGTATTATCTAACCCAGGGGTGTCAAAGTTGATTTTATTGAGGGCTGCATCAGGGTTGTGTTTGACATTGGGGGAGGGGGGGGCTGGAGTGGGCGTGGCCAGGGTGGGCATGGCCAGATCAGTGTCACTCGTGTTGAGGGCCTGTGATGGCCTAAGCGCTCTGTCAGAGAAAATGGGCTCCTGAGCTCCGTTTTCAGCTGCGACGGCCTCCTGCAACCCTCTGCCAGCGAAAATGGAGCTCAGGAGGACCTAGACCTCCTAAGCTCTGTTTTTGCTGGCAGAGGCACTGCGGGCCGGTCCTTTGCTGTTTCCAGGGCGGCCCCCGTACCAGATCTAAGCACCCCGCAGGCCGGATCTGGCCCTTGGGCCATGAGTTTGACACCCCTGATCTAACTAATATGCTCTTATTTCTCTTAATGAGGCTAAGTTTTGTTTTTAGTGTTTGTTTTTAGTGTCGGCAAACAATGCCAACTGGCGACACCCAGGGAGAGAGCCTTCTCTGTGGGGGCACCAGCCCTTTGGAATGAGCTGCCCCTAGAGCTTCGTCTTAGCCCCGACCTGCGCACTTTTTGCCGTGTCCTTAAGACCCTTCTGTTTCAGCAAGCCGGACTGTCCTAATATGAATTTTAAATGGGTGTATGTGTGTTTTAAATTGATGGCCAAATTTCATATATCTGATTTTAATTGGTTTTAAATTTTATAAATTCATGTGTTTTAATATGGCTGTACACCGCCCTGAGTCCCTCGGGAGAAGGGCGGTATAGAAATTTAATAAACTTAAACTTAAGTTTTGTTTTATTTTTGTAAAACAATCACTTCTTTACCGCTAGTTTCATTGAGTTTAATTGTGATTCTTATTTGCTGTCTCACTCTTTGATTTACAGCTGGTCCCTGATTGTAATAAATATCTTATCTTGAATATCTTTAGAAAGGTGCTGTTTTTTAAAATCAGACTTGTTTCATTTACCTTCATGGTTGTTCATATGTCTTCTGTACTCCCGAAGCTGGGTGAATTTTCTCCCACAATGTTCACAAACACGCTCCAAATTTTGTTTTGCTCTTCCTTTCTTTCCATGAGTGGCTTTTTTAACATGCCTCCTGTACAAAGCTTTTTCATAGAACTCTTTGCCACATACATTGCATCTAAACACAAAGAAAATAACAGCTTGATAAAGTACAAAAAACATACCTTTTAAATGCTAATTTAGTATTTGAATAGACTATTGTAATAAAAAAATGTTAAAGTGCTTACCATTTCTGAAAGTAAGGACACGTGAAAGTGGAGAACTAGTATTAAAAAGCTAGTATTTTCTAGAAAGCTCAGAGAGACAATGGGGCTCTTTATATACCTATCAATGATAGTTTTAAAAAAACTCTATAACAATATACAAATACAATAATTAAGGGTGCAGTATTAGATGGTGTGCTTTAAATAAAGCAAAACAGAATTCCTGCTCAGATATACAACAATATAGTTTCATCTTGTCTCAGCAATAATGTTTGATTCAGGAACACCCTTTTTTATGATTTCTTTTCTCAGTTCCAATGGCAAATAGTTTCCAATTGAAGTCTGGAAAAGATAAGGGAGCGGGCTGACTATAACCCTAAATTTTATGCAAGTCATGCAGAGTTCATTAAAAAAAAAACCCTACTTTTTCAGCACCATCTTGCTTTTTTCCTCATTTGCAAACTAGCAATAACTCTATGTATTTTTGTTGACCAGGAACTTTTTGTGCCCAAATAACACTGCAAAACTTCCATTGATATCATATTCTCACTCCACAAGATGCATCTTTCTCTTGATCCTTGAAAGCAAGCGCCTTGAAAATTGGATGAGCACAGACTGCATTTTTCAGTTACATAAATTAAACAGAAAAGTTTTAGAGAATGTTTTCTTACGTAAAGGAGATTGAAGCCGATATACCGTGTTTCCCCGAAAATAAGACACTGTCATATATTTTTTTTGCCACCAAAAAAGGCACCAGGTCTTTTTTTTTTTTCTTCAGGAGGGGTGGGGGGAGATGTCTTCCACTGACTCACCACACTTCGCATGTCACCCTCGGCCTCTTTTTCGCTATCAGAGGCCTTCAGGAATTTCTTGGTCTGGCAAGGCCAGCAAGGCTTTCCTGAAGGCATCTGCAGTCAGTAACAGAGCTCCAGATCAATCCGGAGCTCTGTTATCAGCTACAGAGGCCTTCAGGAAAGCCTTGCTGGCTGCAGAATAAATGGCCCAAGGTGTGCAAGGCCTGGCTGCAAGTGTCTGAAGGTAAGTTAGTAGGGCAGCTCCACCCCCATCCCCACCCTACCTTAATTTTTACCTGTGCACCCTGGAATGGGCGGTGTCTTAATTAGGTCTTATTTTGGGGAAAGGCTTTTATTGGGCACATGTGTAAAAATCAAGCTAGGACTTATTTTCTGAGTAGGTCATATTTTCGGGAAAACACAGTAGGAAGGAACTTCTACTTTGTTACAGGAGCAATTTTAAAAGAATAGTTGAAATCAAAACACTAAATACATTTGATACCTCAACTACTGATTAGACTGCTTTGTTCAAGCCATTATTTTTTCAGTTTACTATCTGCAACTGTAAATAAAAGTTTGCCATATCAACTGTTTTTCTTTTTTGCTACAAAAGGTCAAGGTGACATTGTCACTAGTCACTAATAAGAATAAATAATGTATTATTGATTTCCTAAATTCCAAGAACTATGTATTGATTGATTTTATTAGCGTTAGAGGTTATCTAACTCCAATTAATCAGGTGGCTTACAATGTTAAAGTAAGAGAAAAATTTCTTTTACATTTTTATTCTTTCATTGGTATCTGGTTTGAATACATTATGAAATATTAGTAGAATAACAGAATTGGAAGAGACCTTAGAGATCTAGTCCAACACCCTGCTCACCTTGTGACCCTAATATTGGATTTTATGGAAAAATAAATCTAAATCATTTTGAAAGTCAACTGGAGCATAAATAAGAATATTTTACTATTTTCCAAACTGTGGAAAAACCTCAAGGAAAACCTTTTCTTATATTCCATGATAATTAACTTTACTAAAAAAATGTTTTAGTCAAAAACGTTTTAAATATAAGTAATGATAACTAGTGGAGTGATACAGTATATAGGAAAGCTGATGTAGTTCAAAATAGCTCTCCAACCTGCTAGCAAAAGTGAAATACTAGAACTAGAGTCTTGTGAAATTCTTATGTAATCTCATAGCTCATCATCCACTTACAATACATCATCTTTTTAATTTTCTGATTTGCAAAGAGTTCTGCCTTACCAAGAGTTCTTAATAATTCAAAAGCTAAATACTGAAAGTCTAAATCTACAAACAGATTGATGGATATAATCAGATTTATACAGTTTTGGCAGAGTTTGCTGAAATTGAATAAATTGGTAAATAGATTGCCTAAATAAAAAAATCAAAACAAAATATTGAGGCAAAATAAAATGAGCTTTTTCAGTAATTTCATTGGGTATGATGTTTTTTGCATTTAAAAGTTATCCCATCACATGAGCAAAATTACAGGTTACATAAAGTTGTCATTTAAATCTAAGTATTTGCAGCCAAGAGTACCCAGCTTTGTTTACCTGTATGGATCAGTAACAGAATGTGATTTTACATGAGAATACCAATCTTTCTTCCAACTATAGCATTTCCCACAAAATTGACATTGAAAAGGTTTCACTCCAAGATGTTTGTTCATATGCTGGCGGAGATCCCGGGGTTCATAGAAACTTTTCTCACACCTGAAATTAGATTTGTGATGAATAATATAGAGTACATGTATATAGTCCTTAGTAAAGAAGAGAGAAAAATGTTACCACAGTGCAGCCATGTGTATACATGCATTAATACTATTATTTCATATTTGAAAACAATCCCTATAAAAATATGGAACAATTTGCCTGTGCTACAAAATAGTTAATTATCTATCAGATTATGAAAAAAGGAATGATTCTAAAGTAGTTAACTTTCCAGAATTGTTTACAAAACTATTCTACAGCCAATATTGCTACTTTACTCTGGAATAAATAACATCTAAAAAAAATGGTTCCAATTTGTTTTCTTTGGAATAAACTATTTCCATGCACTATTCAATGGAAAAATAAGATTCATACAATTTTAACAAGCAAGAGCAATAAGTGAAAATAAGCAAATATGTAATTATTAGTTGAATTATTATTATATTAAGGAACCCAAGAGGTACTAAAACAAAGAGCATTGGTAAGTTCAAAGACACTAAGGAATAAGGAATTAAAAAAATTAAAGAAATCTAATGGAGAACCCACTCATTCAGATAAAAAGATTTCTAGCTCACTGAGCACTGAATTTACCTGAAAGCTATACAATGTTTAGTGTCAATATGGAATGAGAGCAAAATACTATACTTGAAACTACTTATATAATACAAATATGGTTGGCTGAAATCCTGAACAGGAGAATTCCCTTTAGGGAATTCCGTTATGGAGACTGCTGAAAAGACTAAAGCTGAGCTCCTGTTATAAGAAAACAATAAGGAGAAGAATAAAGAATAAAGAAATTAGAATTAGAATGTTTGAAATGTTTTTAAGGGGCAAAAATTCCAGCCAAAACAACCTAATAATGCTGAAGAGAAAGATTTAGATCATGGCTATCTGGAACCGTGAACAATGCTACAATATAATAGCTTAAGTCATACTCTAAAAATACCTAATAAAAATGGTATTACAATTCTAATCTAAAGACTGCCTATTACAAATTTTTTCAAAGTTCTTAAAAATTTTATAATAATTCAATCAATTAAGTTGAGATGAAATTTAAAGGAAATTAACATAATTTAAAAAATGCACTGTCAGATAGATAGAAAATGAAATATGTCACTGTAGGTTTGTATGTATGTATATATAATAATAGAAATTAGTTAGTAGTTGAAGTCGTTTATTGTATATGTATATGTAAATTTGTTCTTTGATTAAGTTAACTTTTAACTTAATCAAGCTTTTGTATGTTTTAAATGTTTTTTTAAGAATGAATAAAATCAATCAATTAAGCAATTTTGGCTTTCACCAAGAATAAGATGGATAATCACTTATTACCTACCAAAATTAGCCAAACTACTTTCAAACCTTTTAAAATCTTAATTATACTTACTGGTTACACTGATAGCCACGGATTTCAGGTTTGGGCTGATGTTTCTTTAAGTGTTTACTAAGTCCTGAAGCTCTATGAAAAGATTTTCCACAGTGTGAACAGAAGTATTTTGATTCTCCTGAAAATGATAAAAAGTATCTGTGATATATAGCTGGACATACTACAGATCACATGCAACTTCCAAAGGCTCCTAGAGCTGACATCTGATGACAATCTGGCAAAAAGAGAAGTAACTGTCCCCCGATTATTGATAGGAAACAAAATATTCACATTCTATTAATTATCTTAACACACAAACTTTCTAAAACTCAAATAAATAATCCAACTCCCCTTTCTCATATTACCCCCCCCCCCCCCGACACATCTTAATCTTCTCACTCAAATATAGAGCATAAAAAAGCTGACTTCAAAGACTCTGCCCAAAGATGTGTAGAATGCTTCACTTTCTTTATTGAAGTCACTTATACTTAAAAATGTGGCTGTAGTTAAGCATACATGTTTTATACATTCCTGAAAACTGGCTCTATACTTCGATACATTCTTTTTGAGCTTGTTTGGAGGTTTCAACAGGTAACACAGTCTCTACAACCTCAGAATGAATAATGAAATACTGGTCCCATACAGATTGTTGCCCAACCCCACTGAGCATTCAGTCCTGGAAATAGCAAGGGAAGAAGCCAGCCAGTCCAGCTGACTCAACCCTGGCAATCAATGAGGTGAACTGTCACAGTTAGAGACTACATTTAATTTACTCAGTTAACAGGCTTGATATCACTGGTTGTTAAATATAGCTGGTTTCTAGTCTTAAAAAACCACCCATATAAATTCCCATTGATTGGCATTTTGGCCAGACTGATGTTTAAAGCATGTTTACTACACAGAACCAACTTTGTGTAGGAGTTTTTTGGATGTATAAAATTATAGAAATAAAGTGAAAGAGGAAACCCATTAGATTGAGAAGTGACATTATAGTCCTTTTTACATTATTTTATTTCTGGCATTAATTAATAATGTGTGTCATTTACCTGTGTGAATGCTTACATGCTCCTGAAGGCTTCTTTTTGTGACAAAGGACTTGTCACACAATTCACACTTAAACTGCTTTTGTGCCTCATGCAACACAAGGTGCATCTTTAAACCATGTTTGTAGGTAAATGACTTTCCACAAATCTATTAAATAACGACATCACAAAAATAATATTGTCTTTCAAGGTGAACAGCAATACACTAAGATGAAGAAAGTTTCACTGAATCTGCTTATACTGCATGATCCATAAGTACTTGACATTTTTTCCTAGGGCTAGCATTCTTTGGAAAATTAGATTAGGACTGTGAGATCTGAATTGCACAAAATCCATACAACTATTCAGGGACAGTAAAGACATCAAAAACACAGATCATTGTACTTATAATAGCAAAGACATCATTCAAACTGTGCAGAAGGCAATGGTAGTGGGATTCAAAGAAGTTGGATAGAAAGAGTATCAACTCTTTGGAACTTTGGTATTGGAGAAAACTCATGAGAATACCATGCACAGCCAAGAAAACAAATAAATGGATTGCTGAACTAATCAATCCAGAGTTCTCACTTGAGAGACAAATTATCCTTCTTTAAAATATTTTTTGTTGTTGTTGACCATCCAGACATGCAGTTTGATTTGGGCAATCTTATAAATCAAATAACTAAATAAATAACTAAATAAATGTCTTACTTCAGATGCATTATGCAAAGACTTAGTGCAGAGGTCTCCAACCTTGGCAACTTTAAGACTTGTGGACTTCAAAGCTGGCTGAGAAATTCTGGGAGTTGAAGTCCACAAGTCTTAAAAGTTGCCAAGGTTGGAGACCCCTGACATAGTGCTTTGAAAATACTCTGATGCTGGGAAATATGGAACGAAAGGAAAGGAGAGGATCAGCAAGGTAGTTGTAGCGGTAATAAGTGCACTGTTGGAAGACCTAAAGGACCAGGTTAGGGACAGACTGCAATGGGGAAAAAAATCTATCTATGATTGCTATGATTTGACAATGTTTTCCATACCTGAAGAGTCTGGGAGACTAACAATCAAAATAATTCCATAGATTGAAAACAACCATCTCGAAAATAAATAAGCTCACTTACAATATAAACAGCATTTACAATAGTAGAACTATCCAGAAATATGCAAAATCATGCACTTGTCAATGTCAAACATTTATCACAGTATGCCCTCTACTTGCACTAGATGAAACAACAGATGTTAACTGCTTTCCTAAAATTCAGGAGGAAACAAATTGGACCTCGAAGGAAAAGAATTCCAAAACTTACTTTCTACCAGAGAAAGTGCATTAACATTGAAGTGAAGGAAACAGGTTTTTTTTTTACCTTACATGCATGTGGCTTTACACCTGTATGTTTCAACATATGGATTCGCAAAGAATAGAGTTTAGGCAAACTTCTTCCACATATATCACAGATAAATTCTCGCTTAGTTCTTCCCTTCGTGGCAGCACCACTTTCTTCTATATTAGCAGTTGCAACAGTCACTTCATTTTTTTGGGTGTGACGAACAAGGTGAGCTCGCAGTGAAGCACCATACTGGAACTCTTTTTTGCATAGCTAAGGAAACAAATATTTGACTTCTTGTGAGAAATTTTATTTAAAAAATAGGGATATAGGGATGGTGTGTGTGTGTGTGTGTGTGTGTGTATTCACATACAACTGAAACTATAATGTATATGTTTCAATTGAAAGATAAAAGATGTACTTTCCGCTCTGGGAAAATCAAATGTTGATTAGCCAGATATGTCTAATCAACTCTATTTACATTTCCCAGACTTGGAAATGGCCACCCACTTGCAATGTAATGCTTCAAACCATGGATCTTGATCATTATAAAATAAGGACTGAAGTGTATGTTCAAGAACTATTATCAGGTTAAACTTGGCATTCAAAGAATATCTTAACACTATCATAAGAATCTTTACTCATAATACATTTTACCAAGTGCTTACTGGGCATTTATAATTTTTCGTCCTCTCATGCTTCAATGTGTGCATTATAAGAGCATAACGTCTCTGGAAAATCATCCCACATTCACTGCATTTGTGTTGAGCTTCTGCCTCACTGTGTTCTATAATCTCTCTTTTGGGTTGCTTCATCTTCTTGCCTCTTTGCACTAGCTTCATAGCAACCTGATTAAAAAATTGATATTTAACATTAATATTAGTTATACAGAAAAGAGAACCAACAACTCAAACATATTACCTGCAGAGAAACAACATACATGACCAGAAAAGCCAATCTTTTTTGAGTTAACTCCTAGTGACTTAATGAACATAACCATGTTGGTATTTTAACAATATAGAAGTTAGTTGCCATTATTTTCAAGTCATTTTTTAAAAAATAGTGCAATGTAACTCATGGCTCTGATCTTTCCTGAAAATCTCCCATCCAAATTCCACTCAGTCATATTTAGCTTCCCAGTCCATCAGTTTAGCCAAATCATGCCTCTTACTATTGACATACAGCATAATCTCATAAACGGTAAATATTATTAGTTCTATCTAAGGGATAGGAAACAAAAATATTCAATCAATCTCAATAAAATTTGAAATGCATTTAAAAATTTGTATCTGTATTTGATGGAATATAAAAAAGTTGTTTGAAAGAATATAATCTGTATACACATTTTTTGTATATGCCCCTAACACATACAGCATTGAATTCTTAAGCATTTTTGAAGTAAATAAACCTCTCTGTCATACTATCTGCCCAACCAAGTTGATCTTACAAGATTGGTGGGCTCTGCGTTCCTTTGATTAAATCATGTCACCTATCAAGACCCGAGACATGCTTTTTCTGTGGGAACACCTGCTCTCTGAAATGAGGTCTCCTCTACCAAGATCCAGATGGCCCCAACTCTGATGTTTCTTAGAAGAGCAGTGAGGACCTAGTCCTTTACTCAGATCTTTGGTGAAGGAGACTGAGATCTCTTGCTTCATTCTAACTTATTTGTCCCACTTGCCATTTTTTCTTTTGATTGTTGTCAGCTGTCAATAGTTATTGAGAATTGGGTGGCACACAGGTTTAATTAACAATATCATACAGCTACCTCTCTTGAGGTAACATCTGTCCCTACTTCAATCAATTTGTCTACATATAATTGTTATTGTAATTGTCAACAGGAAAATTAAAATCTTTCTGTTGTACAGCTGATATACAGTATATATGGTTTTAAGGTTCTTTAAAGTCTAAGTATAATATCACTTTCTGGGCTTGCCAGAAGGAAAAAAATGTATTTGTAAAGTCTTACAACTTCAATAGATAGTCTTTATAGATAGTCCTGTCCACCCTCACACAATTCTTTTAAAAAACAGATTTTTAGCATACTTATACCTGCTGGATAGCTGATTTGGGGCCTGGCTTTCTGTTCTGTAGTTTTTTCTCAGTACCTTTGTGCAGTCGAATATAGCCACCCTCACTAACAGATCGCTGGCGAAGCTTGCTTTTATAAGTATCATCTTGACTAAGAGCTGTGGCCTCCGATTGTGATTGTGGACTGTCCTGCATTTTACAAGGCCGACCACGTTTTCGCTTAAGCCCTTCCTGGGAATCCTCAGCAGCAACTTCTGCATTTGCTTCACTGCTCACATTAAGTTCACTGTTCACATTTGGATCTCCATTTGTATTTTGATCAGCCTCATTTTCAGCCTGAGTACTAATAATAACTTGCTCTGCTACTGAAGGCTCAGTTTGCACCAGTGTTATAGTTTGATTTGTGGAACATTCCATTACTGGGGCTTTCTCTTCATTTTCTGTTGTTTCCAAAGCAGGAGTATGCACCGGGAGCTCAGGAGGATTCTTCGCAGGAGGCTCTGAAACAATTTGCAATGCAGTTTCAGACACAGTCATCTCTTCTGCCTCGGTATTTGAAGATGTTCCATTCACTGTTGCTACTGGATCTTCAGTAGATATTGCTTGCTCAGTGCTGGCAACAGGATTATCGGTGGCTTCGTTTTCATTCTGCTCTGAAGTAGTTTGAGCTACCTCTACTACTTGGACATCTCCTTTCTGGTATACGGTGATTTGTTTATCTTCCATCTGTTTGTGTACATTTTCACAGATTTCCAAGACTTCTGTCATGAGAAGATGCTGAGCTAGCTCAGCTACAGCTGCCATGTTACAAAAATCAAAAACTAATTCTGAAGTATAAGCAAATTCTAGCAAAGGGAGGAAACTGGCCTTCCGAAATCCTGCACATACACACACAAAACAAACAAAATTAGAAAGATTTGATGAAAGAATAGACCCTCACCATTTATTTTATAAAAACAGAAGTCTGCCAGTCTGATGAAAACTAAGGACAGGGTCTCTTTTCAATAGCTGTCACACATCTCAGGAATTCTCTACATAGAAATGCATTCATTGCTTATCTCTGTTTTAGGTAAACATTTGCTTCAGTGCTTTTCACTAATGTCATAAACTGCTATGATATAATTCTGTATTTAACATTTAACATCATAAACTGCTATGATATAATTCTGTATTTAACATCTGTATATAAAAATCATTTTAGTTATACTTAAATGTGGGTATATTAATAGATACACTATTGTAGAATAGGTCCCTTTTTATTCGGAAAGATAGGCCATAAATTTACTAAATAAATAAATCAGTGGACACTGTCCAAATTACTTCTATCAAATTAAATAAAAAGCACAACAAATAAACAAAAAATCCAAGCATCTTTTCTTTAGGAAAACTTGGCAGCATTTCTTTATATATTTTATATAGTTTATTGAATTGTCTTTTTAAAATCCTCATATTTAATAAACTCATTGATATGATACATTACCTGAAAGATCTACTACTGCTTCATGGCTGGAAACAGCTCCCTTTTCAATAAAAAGTTCTCTGAAGTATTCACTGTTGGCTGCCAAAATAGATTTATGTGCTTTGTACACTTCTCCCTCAATAAGCAAGGTAACATCACAGAACTGACTAGAAAGTCGCTGTTGGTTCAACTGATTCAAAACTGATTGAGAATGTTTTGGAGAAGATTGTTTCACAAGGCCTTTACTGTCGACCTGGCATCAAAAAAGACAGTCCATATTGTTACAATTAAAACAAACGAAAGTAAATTAAGTATCATCTTAAATCTGCTATGTATGAAAACTGTTTATGGTATAAATGTAAAATAAATTTCCATACTAATTATACAAGAACATTTACTTACAAATACAAGTTCATGCTTGGCTATTGGTTTCTTTTTCACTGGTTTTGGTGATGCTGCTGGCAGTGATGTGGAATTATTTATTTCATCATCTGTTTCATTACTATCTTCATGAGAAATTGCATCCAATCCTAGCTCTTCCAACATTTCAGAAGGGTCTGACAGTGATCTAGAACGATCTAATTTTTCCTGGCATTTGCTACATTCTTTAATATAATCTTTAACTTGCTTCAGGATACCTTAAAAAAAACACAAAACCTTTTTGTATGTATTGTTTTATTCATGCATAAATTGATATATTTAAATTAATTTTTCAACATTGGGCAGTTATTCGAAAACACTCATCCTTTACCTTTTATTTGGTTGCATGGAAACAGACTAAATCAGAGCCAATGTTTTTGCTTATTTTCAAATCTTCCTGCCATGTAAGGACTTCCATCAATTTTAGACCTATACTTTCTACAAAATGTACAAAATGAAATTTTCCATACTTATGGGATAGTATTGAACCAAAAACATATGGAGAAACAAAGCAGAGAGGATTCTTTACAAGTCATATTTTTTGTTCTGCCTATATAGAATGCTCTGGCTATTCACATCGCTACTACAAACTTTCTACCCTGAAATCCATAATTATGCAAAAAAGTCTGATTCATTAGAACTCATATCTGATAATTTACAGAAAATACCCAGCTTCCTTGTGTCTATATAGTAAGCTAATTTATGTAAATTAGGAGTCTTCTTGATTAGTGCTATATCAGATTTGAAGCTGCACGTCTGCCTTGCATTTTGTATTACAAAAAGAAAATGTGCTTAAAATTTAGAAAACCCTTATTTTATAAAAAAAGTTTTGTTTTTTAAATCATTGCTGTTCATTTGGGGATTACAGTTCACATTGTCTCAACATATGAGCTCAAAAGGCTCAAAAGGAACTTTAACAATGGCAGTCACTGAAGAGTCAATGCACATCAAAACCAAAGGTACTTTTTCAAGAGGCAACTGGACTTTCTTGGTGGATTTTTTTTTTTTTTTTGGAAGACGTGGAGCTTCTTATCCAAGAAGCTTCTTCAGCTCTGACTGGGTGGTGGGAAATGGAAGGATTTATATTCCTTGCAGACAGTTGGGTCACTTGCCTTCTTTTTAAGTCCAGTTGTCTCTTGAATTAGAATTTGAATTTTTTATTGGCCAAGCGTGATTGGACACACAGGGAATTTGTCTTGGCGCATACGATCTCAGTGTACATAAAAGAAAAAGCACCTTTGGCACAACCATGACCTGGATGACTGAAACTCTCCGTAGACATGCCCATCAAACGTACCAATAATCCCCCCCCCCCCCAAAAAAAAGCCTTTTAACCTAACCCAGTGTTTCTCAACCTTGGAAGCTTGAAGATGGGTGGACTTCAACTCCCAGAATCCCCCAGCCAGCGCTGCTGGCTGGGGGATTCTGGAAGTTGAAGTCCACCCATCTTCAAGCTACCAAGGTTGAGAAACACTGACCTAACCCGTTGACCAAATGAAGCCCTAAATGTTTTATCTGAGCGTTCAACATGCGGAATCATGCGGACAACGAGGTTCATTTCACAATGATTAGCCTTTGGTTAAGTGATCCAGGGGAAGGCAGCCGGTGAGCTGAACTGGCGTTTTTCGAGCAGGAGCTCATTCCCACGGAGATTCTCATCTTCGGCAACGAGCCTCGCAACTCCCTGGCCTCCGCGTTGAGCAGCTTCGAAAGAGAGCGCCTCGGTCTGACGAAGGCGGCGCTCAAGACCGGAGGTGGGGCGAGGAAGTCGCGCGTGTCACCGCGCCGCTGCGAGGCACCTCCGAACACACAGTCAGTCAGCCAGCCGGCATGCTCGGCTCGCCCGCTCCGCTGGTTGAAGACCGGTCACGCAGGGACGCCCCCCCAGCCCACGCCGCCGCTTCCTCCTCCCCTCCATCCCCACCCACCCAGCGCCTTTTCCTCACCTCGCCACCAGTAGCGCCTGGAGAGGCGCTGCCAAGTCTGCAAGCGGGTCCGGTGGGAGCCGTCAGTTTCCAGGTGGGCTGCCCGAATGAGGCGGGCGCGACGCTCGGCCTGCAGCACCACTTCGAGCTCGGCGAAGCGCTGCTGGTCCCGTTGCCGGCGCTGGTAGTAAAGGGTCCCGCCGCGCACCACATAGCAGGCGGCGGCCTTGCGGATCTTGCGCTTGACGTTGCCTTCGGTGCCCGGCGCGTAAGGCTCGCGCTCGTTGGTCAAGTAACGCAGGATGGCCAAGTAGCTCTCCTCGTTCGACATGGCGGGCGGGCAGGCGAGCGGCGGCCGGCGGACGCCCCCTCGTCAGCGGAGGAGGGGGGGCACTTCAGCCGCTGGAAGGAGAGAGTCCGATGCGGGTCCAGCTCTGTTTCGGGGATGGGGTGGGGGGGGGTTGAGCCCCCGGGTCCCCAGCGGAGGAGACGCGAGGGAACTCTCCGAAGAAGAGAAGCAGGCGTCGCGGGTGGATGGGTGGGTGGGTGGTGTCTCCTGTCACAGGTGTTAGAAAGGAGACCACTCGGAGCGAGCGAAGGGGAAAGCAAGGGGGAAGGGGGAATTACGGGAAGGGTTAAAATAAAGAAAAACCCGAAGCATCGGGTCCAGAAGGAATCGGGCCCCAGGAGGTGGAACTGGAGTTTCGCGGTCCTCGGCGACGGGTGGGAGGAAGAAGCTCGGGCAGCCGGATCAACGGAAAGACAAAATGGCTGCTGCACAAGCGGAAGTGAGGTCTGGGAAGATCTCGCCTAGCCCTTCGAGCGGAGGGAAGGGGAAGCGCTTTGAGGAGCGTCGCCATGCCGGAATCGGGCAAGCGTTGCCAGGGCCGTTGAAGATGATTTGCCGTTTTAATACAGGCAGAGAGGTCGGCAGGAGTGGGAGACGGTTAATTACATGTAATACAGGCAAAATAATTTAAATTGCATTCAAGAAATGTAGTTCCTTTCTTGTATTGAAGTAACCAGTCTGCAAATCGCCGGCTTGGCTGAACTGGTCTGCCCGTAATTATTCTTAAAGCGCTTCCATGAGAATATGAAAGTGTCTATAATTTGCAAGCTTCACAGTTTAACTTTGTAAAGTATCTTATTCGATTTGTTTCTTCAGTTTCTACAGAAGCCGAAAAATAATTACCGGAAAACGCGGTCAAAACTTTCTAATCTCCAAGCGGTTTGCAAAAAGGATTCCTATCTTTTTAAATTATTTTTCTTTCTCAATTGTTCGTTTGAATAATATGTAGCATACCCAGCTTGCAAATAAAATGTAATTAATTCATCGTATATAAGCAGTTATTTTAGGTTTTTTTCCCCAGATAAGGACTAGTCAGCAAACTTGGTTTCAGAATTCCCAGGTGATCATGTTTACCGCACATTTAGCACATGGCATTTCACCTAGATTTATAAAACACAATAAAATATCAATGTTAAAAAGGTGTATGTTCAAATACCAATGTCACTTCATTGAAGTGCAACATCGTGTACATAAAAAACAATAACCAGATACTGGACTGGTATATGCCCTCAGTTTATAGCCAGTCACAATGTGATCCAGTTTGACCTGGTACTGTATTCACCGAAGATACTATGCCCCATTTTTAAAGTCCCATGCAGATGCCGTGTGAGATGCGAGTCCTATTTTTTTTTAAATTTAATTTATATGCCGCCCTTCTCCGGAGACTCAGGGCTGCTTACAATGTGTTAAGCAATAGCCTTCATCCTTTTGTATATTTATACAAAGTCAGCTTATTGCCCCCACAACTGGGTCAATTTACCTACCTTAGAAAGGATGGAAGGCTGAGTCAACCTTGAGCCTTGGAGAGATTCGAACCAGCAGTAATTGCAGGCAGCTGGTCTTAATAACAGGGTGCTTTAGACCACTGTACTACCAAGGCTATTCAGGATTGTCCACTGCTGACCTGGTAGTTCAAATCCTGGCACCTTTTTTGTAGGGTCATTTATGTCTTCCTATGTCTGGGCATTCAGAGACTCAATGGTTTTCTACTGAGAATATTCAAGTTGTCCCATTTTCAGGAGGCAACTGGATATTTTCTTGGAAGACGTTTCGCTTCTCATCCAAGATGCTCTGACAGGATGGTGGGGAGTCAGAGCTGACGAAGCTTCTTGAATGAGAAACAAAACTTCTTCAGAGAAAAAACAAAGTCCATTTGCCTCCTGAAAAAGCACCTTTGGGATGATGACCCAGATGACTGAGAATCTCTACAATGAGTTGCTAGGCAGATGTTGTGCAAGTGACTGGGAGTTTCCTGGATTTGAATCTTCCAGCTGATAAATGATGAAAGTCGCCTTGCACCAGTAGTTGTTCATAATTTTTCTGTATTCTCTCCCTAGTGCATCTTGCCTTTGTAAAACTGGCATGTTGCAGCACACAAATTTGACCCAATTATCAGAATACTGTAGGTCTGAGCCAAGTTCACAGATATCACTATTAAGTTACAATAATTTACATTGCAGTGACACTGAATGCTATAGGCTAAAATATACAAAATTGTTTTTTGAATATGTAAGCATCTCTGGAAGAGATTTTGTAATTGGAAGTATAAAAGTTGTTTAACTCTAGGCTATACTAAAAATGTTTTCAATAGTATTTCTGCATCGTTACTTTGCCATTAACATCCCATAAAATGGCTTTATCAGCCTAAATAACAAGAATGAACACTACCAGACTAAATATTCTTAAATCTAAACAGCGTAAAATATTATTCATATTGTAAACAAGGATTATCAGTAACTTGGTTGATGTAATATAAATTTCTCATTCTACTTTGATATGTATAGGGTTACATTATGCATTGTTTAGGAAAAAATGCAATCTTACAGTGTGAAAATATACAGTTGACTAAATTACATTCAATATTTTAAGGCTATATTAAGGATCTGTAATATAGAGCAGTAGTGTGACATAGTGGGGAAGATGCTTGGCTTCCACTTGAAAGGTTGAGTTCAATCCTAGGTAGGAAAAAATATCTGCTGCAAACTCCATGTAGGTGTCAGCATGGGTATCTGGCTAGTACACGGGCAGCTCCATCGTGTTGCCCTGAATAGGGACTACAGGGTTGCAAAAAGGGAGTTTTAAAAAATTATTATTAAGGATCTATAGTCTTTTCAAATTTATAAATCTAGTTGCTGAATTCACAACAAATATCTTGTAAATTCTGAAATTATAAATAAAATTGCTTTAAAATGACTTTTGATTCATCAGTATCTCTTGATCATAAAAGTATATTGAATTATTTTTTTAAAAAACCCAGTGTTTTCCATCCAATTCTAAGACTTCAATAGGAATTTCAAAATCATAGATTTTCCCTTACATTGAAAAACAACTGGCAGAGCAGTTTTGCCATTATTCTATCTCCATGCAGAGAGAGAGAGGTGGTCACAAGTCCTTAATGGTAGAAAATTTAATTGCAATGCTTCACCATGGCTGTGCAACGTTCAACTATTTACTGATCAGCTGCTGCTAAGATGGTTGAAATATTATGAAATTTATCCTGAGTAAACTAACAGTTTTCAGTGGCAAAATTCCCTTAATAAACAACCAGGTCGTAGGGCCTTTGGGCAGATTAGACAAGAATAATTTGAATTTGAAATGAATTTACCAATATGTATTGAGATTTAAGTCCTTGATTTTTTTTCACTAATAATTTCTTAAATACAGACTTTCCTGTATATGTTTTGCTAATAGCGGCTTTCAACTTTAATGCTCATCATTGTAAGTTATGTAATGAAAATGACCTGAAACTTTCAAGAAATATTTTTTTTAAAGAGAATAGACAACTATAGTCAAAATTTTATTTGACATAATCAAATCAGCACAAATCAGCGTTTCCCACCAACACGAGGAGCCGAAACTTTCACAGGCTTCACAATTTTTTGTTTTGGTGCAGTCTTTGTTGGTGCCTGGAAATAGAAAAGAAGACACTGATGAGGGTATGGTACATATTAAGTCAGTTTATTTAGCGTAAGATAGCATAATGCATATAGATGAACTTCTAGTGAGTGAGTGAGAACGAACAAAGTGTCTCTAAATCAGGGGTCTCCAACCCCCGGACCACTACCAGGCTTTGAGCCATTTGGAACTGGGCTGTGGAAGTGGTGGGCAAGCATCACTCACGAAGAACCGTGCTGCCCCCGCTCCCCCCCCCAGCTGCAAAGATTGGGGAACTCTGCTCTAAATCATTTGAACGAAGTTTTCAATCTAATCAGAAATGCTATGATCTTCTTTGCAACCACTGGACTAAAGGAATTTCATATTGCAGCCTTTGAGAAACAATTGTTACCATCCAATTATCATGCCATTTTTTAAGTTTATTGCAGCCCCTTCCCTGATTGAGGAATGGGGTTACAGATACTTTTAATTCAAAACCCGGATTATGAGAGACTTA